CCGCCCCGCCCCGCCCCGCCCCGGCGCAGGGGCCGGGGTCCGCGAGAGAAGAAGCGGGGCAGCAGGGCCGTCCGCGCAAGGTCGGAGCGCCCAAGTCAGAGAGGGCTTGAAGGCCCAGACCCACTTGGCTGGGGGCAGGTCGTGCCTGGCTGGCTCTGACCCAGGAAGGGCCGAAGGCCACCCAGGGAGCTGTCCAGTTTCCTTTCCCTGAGGGATGCAGCGAAAAACCGAGCAAGCGCCCTCTGGAAGCCACATAAATATCTAGTCTTTGTATCGTGCCACACGATAATTAATCACAATTAATATCATTTTGCCTTGCCCGTGGAAGTTGTGGGAAACAAGAGCCTTCACACAGTCATAAGACAGGAGCTGTAATCAACTTTTACTGCTGGCGAGTTAATAACTACCTCAGGGTTTGGGGCGCTGATGGTTGAGCACTATAAAAATGAGCTGTTTGCATTACAAGAGTATTCCTTTCCTTTAAACGAGGAAACGTCCCGAGACCTACTCTGTCTAGCTGGATAGCACCGCACGGGTGTCCACAGGCACTTCAAACAGCAGGACAAAATCCTTCCTTAACCCCTGACCACTTCACCTATTACACATACACGCACACCCCCCCCCCCCCCCCCCCCCACACAAACAAGCAATCCTTGTGCTTCCACTCAGTTAATGGCAGCAGCATCTTCAGATGTTCAGGCCAGAAATCTCAAAGTCCTGTTCAAATCCTTCCTTCCTCTCCCTCACTCTTCACACCATTTAGTAACCAAATCTGATGGCTCCTTGTAACTGATTATCTGCGTTACCTCTTAAATTGGTCCCATCCCTCCCCCCCAATTCCACAGCAATTACCCTCAGCATCTCTGGTCTGGACCTTCGTAATACTCTCCTAACTTTTCTTATTTCCGTATCTCTCACCTCCACTCTACACACTGCTGCTAGATCTCCTCCTAAGACAGAGATATTGATGATTATGCTTGCTACTCTGTTCAATAATCTTTACAAGTCTCCATTACATAAAAGTCCAACTCCTCAGCCTATGATTCCAGGCTCTCCACGTTTGATTCCCTCCCTCTTTTGCCAGGCCCTCCATCCTATCTTGTTAAATTGACGCTTTCAAAACAATAATGTTAAACTTATTAATAATCTCATGAGAACTTCTTGTAGCTTTCATTTTGCATGTAAGGAGAACTTAGCATAGAGAGGGTAAGTGACTGCCCCAGCAAGGGTTATTCTTCAGTATAAGGGGGATGGCTTTATTTTTTGTCCTTTGTTTCTTGTTTCCCAGCGCACTGTAGTAACTATGAGAGCAGTGTTTTTCCCTGGGAGTCATGAGGCATCCATCATGTGATGTGGGTGTAGTGTGATGAAGTGTCAGGAGGAATGTTCCAGTAATTTGTTGCTGACAAAAAGTGCTAATATTTCTTAATGATTTGTTTTTAGATTGAAGGTAATGCGTGTAAAGATTCACTTCCTAGGTGGAGAGAGAGGAGTGGAGCTACAGTTAATGAGCAGGATTTGTCTGTGGCTGATAGGAGGGTCAGGTGTGTCCTAGGGGACAAAGGTTGAGAAGTGCCACATAAGACCACCTCAGATGCCTCTGATCATTAACCAAGAGTTTTAAATTTCAACGTTTAAGCCAAGTCCAGAACCATTGAAATCCTCATATGCCAAAACTTTAAAATCACTAGTTATGAAAAAAAAGATAGGATTTAAAATGAGTAGCCAACTGAAATTATCAACAAAGACGTATAGTAATTACTGCAGTTAAAATCAATAGCTGAAAACTCACATGAGCAGGGAACCCAACCTTGGAATAATAAAGTTGTTCATTAATATCTGAGCCTTCCTTTCTGAACAAAGGTCTCAAGTTATATTTCGTGAATGATAAAAAGGAATTATCAGTAACTGATAATAACAACTCTCAAAAAGCCAGTTACAGATGTCAGGGAATATCAAAAGAAAAGATATTAAGGTAAGCTCACATAACAGATTTTTCTACTACTTATAAATCAAGAGGATATTAAAGCCGAACCACTTCTCTATACCTTTAACCAAATAATCAATTTTTCATCTTGTTTTGTTAGATTTCTATGAAATTACCTAGTTTTCATGAACAAATTATGCTGAATCACAATCTGATTACTTCATAGATTTAACTACATGAAAGTAAAATGTTATAATTGTGAAAAGTTTCCCAATAGTATGCTTCAAGAGCAAATGGAAGAGTTTAGAGAGGAGTAAAACTTCAGAGAATAACGAATGAGTTACTTTTAAATTTTGGAAATCAAAAATTGTATTTGTTTGAACATGTTTGTCAAACAAAAATCAAGTTTTTTTCTAGAAGAAAAACTTTAAAAATAGGAAACAGTAATTATTTAATTAGATGGAGAAGAAAACCATTTAATTCCTTTTATCATGTTCTGATCAAAGAAGTTTTCACCAAAATGTACCAATTCCTCACTTCCTCAAATTCTAGGAGATCCTTTTTTGTTTTGGACAACCTTTGGGTCCTAATTCTTCCCTCCTCCTAGGGAGTTATGCTACAACAAAGCTCTCTACAGGAAGATTGCAGAGCTCCATTTTTTTCAAGTGTGTACTATATCAATGAGGATGCCTTTAGCTGCAAGTAACAGAAAATATCAATTCAAATAAACTTGAGCAGTAAGGAAATTTATTAACTCACAAGAAAAAATCAAGAAATAATGAGGGGCGGGCCCCGTGGCTTAGGGGTTAAGTGTGCAAGCTCCACTAGTGGCGGCCCGGGTTTGGAACCCCGGGCGTGCGCACCGACTCACCGCTTCTCCGGCCATGCTGAGGTGGCGTCCCACATACAGCAACTAGAAGGATGTGCAACTATGACATACAACTATCTACTGGGGCTTTGGGGGAAAAAAAAGGAGGAGGATCGGCAATAGATGTTAGCTCAGAGCCCGTCTTCCTCAGCAAAAAGAGGAGGATTAGCATGGATGTTAGCTCAGGGCTGAGCTTCCTTACAAAAAAAAAAGAAGAAATAATGAGTCTCTGGGCATAGTATATAGTATAATCAGTAGCTTAATGGTGTCACCAAGGACCTAGATGCCTTCCAACTCTCCACTCTGCCATCTTCAGTGACAACCTTATTCTAAGGCTGGTTCTCCTCATGGTCCAGTTTTAAATTTCAGATCCTGACATAACAAGCAAAAAAAAACTTGCTCAGAAGCCTCCTCTCCCTCCTGTAGACCTCTCCTATCTCATTGGATTAGAATTGGATCACATGCCCATCCTAAAGGGAACTGGAACAACCATGATTGGCTTAGAGTCTAAGCCTTGACCAATAAGGAATTACCTCTGGGGCTAATCATTCTGATTTTTTTTGTCAGAAAACTTTAGAGCATCTAAAATATTTAATTTCCAAAAATTACATTTTACTCAGATTTTCAGAAACACACTATAGTGCAACATAAGATAGAGCTGTGTTTTTTAGGTCTTAGAAAAAAGGATTTTACAAAATTTGTGGACTCTGTACAGCACATAACCCATTGTTTCTCTAGTTAAGAATTTCTGCCTTCAGAATTAAAAATATGCCTCCTCTAAATAAGATATTCTACTACTTCTCTAGGGTTCTCTCCCCCGCCCTCCTTTTTTTCTGTGTGTGTGTGAAGCTTTTTCACTTCCCCTTTTCCCTGTATTTTGGAATCTGGAATATTTTTTAAGGTTCTTGTCTGCAAAGAATGTTGATGACTCAAGATATCTCCAGAAAAAGTGACTAATCCAGAAAACAAAAACTCAGCAACTTCAAATCATTTTTGGATCCTCCCTCTACTCACAGTGCACTGTCATCAATACTATGTTTTCATCTTTTAAAGATTGAATTCAGGAATTGAGAAATCCCTTGTCGTCCTTAATCATATCACATTAACTGTTAAAGCTGGGTCTTTTTATTCTTTTGGTCATCTAACAGATAATTAACCTTAACATTAACAGTTACATTCACTATGCTGACAAATATGGCTTTTATAAATGTTTAATACCAGATGATGTCTCCTGGATGAAATTTCAAATTGGTAATTGGATTGAGCACTCTTACATGCAACACTGTGTGAGGCACCTCCGCTTTCAAAAAAAGCTCTGTGAGACTATTAACAAGTTTCTATAAACGTGCTTTTTGGAGCATTTGTTACAAATGCGCTCTGGCAGATTTTAATTGATGTGTTTTTTAAGGAGAAAGGATAGAAAATAAATTGAAAATTGTCCGTTCACACACACACATCTCTAAAAGTAAATACTGATTACCAGCGGCTGGGGCAGCGGCATGGAGGGGGAAATAGGGAGTGACTGCTAATTCATATGTGGTTTCTTTTTAGAGCGATGAAAATGTTCTGGAATTAGATAGTAGTGATAGTCGCACATGGTGAATATACTAAAAACTCCTGAATTGTACATTTTAAAAGAGTGAATTTTAGAGTATGTGAATTATATCTCAATTTAAAGAAAAAAGAATGAAGTGACTTTGGGGAATTTCTTTCTTAGGATCTTACACATAGAATTTTGAAGAAAGATCTTCCAAAAAGTCACTGCATTCTTTTCTGAAAAGATATCTGCATGTTTGCATAAAGGAGAAGGAGTAATGTATACAAACCCCAGGCCTTATTTGGAAAACCTGCTGCTTTACACTAGTGCTTTAATCTTCTTGGAGTAGTTTATCCCTTTAAGATCTATGAACCTGGGCAAGAACCATTTTCCAGCAAAATCTAACAGGGTTAAGCCCCAGGAAGCCTGTGAGGTGGCCTCAACCTTTGCCATAGGAGTCCCAAGAAAAGAGACATTCAGGAATCAGAGAATCCTTCCAGCTCCCAGAACAAAAGGCAATGGAGGCTCAACCATAGGCCCTGGGCACCCTCTTCTGTTTG